ATTCCCCAACGCTGTTCCCCTCCCCCAATTCCCCAATAAAATCTTAAAAAAAAAGAAAGAAAGAAAGAAAGAAATGGTTCTCAGTTTTTGGAGTCACACATCTCTCAAAAGATTCTGATAAAAGCATTGACCCTTCCCCTAGAAACAATACATATACAGAGACACAAGGCTAAAAGGCCCTGTGCCAGAACCTCTGTTTGCCAGAGTTTAGACAAACTGAAAGGAATCAAAGCACATGGCAGGCAGCCATATGCCCGGCCTCCTTTCAGGCCTCTTGCATCAGCAGCTAGGAGGAAAGGCTACCAGGCACATCTACTCCACTACCCTTTGTGCATGAAGCAGACAGCTAACGTGGACTGGACTGTCACCAAGTAAACCTGGGGGAGCTGCTCTACAACTTCGAGTCCTGCCTCCTAACCCCCACCACATCTTGTGACAACTGAAAGATGAGGAGAGTGAGGTTGGGGGAAAAGGGACCAAGTTAAGGCAGAGGGGATAGGAAGGACAAGAAAAAGATTGAGCATCAAGAGGCAGCTCCAGGTTTCTAAGTCAAACGTTTGCCTGTAGAAAGAAGCTTCTGTATTCACCATTCATTCATTCATTCAGCAAATACAAATATTTAGCATTTATTCATTCAGCAAATACTCGCTGAGCACCAACCAGGCACTAGACTCCATGTTGGGGATGCGGCAGTAAACCATTGGAAGGTACTGCCCTCCTGGAGCTTACATTTATCAAGATCTTAACACTGTATTTGGCACAAGGATACAAAATGAATAAAAGTCAAAGCCAATGCCCTCAAGGACTCCAGTGATCTACTGGGGGAGGGTGGGAAAGCAGTGTGTGAAGGGATTAGCACACAGAGACATGCACAGGGTGAGAATACACAAAACAGTCACCTCACCAGGGCTTCTCAATCTCTGCACTGTGGAAGAAGGGATGGACGAAGGGATCAGTTTCCTCTCGTGGGGTGGGACAGGGAGGCTGGTGCTGTCCTACTGTTATGGGCTGAACTGTATCCCTCACTCCAAATTCATATGTTGAAGTCCTAACCGCCATCACCTCAGAAGGTGACTGTATTGGATACAGGCTCTTTGAAACAATCCTGACAAAACATTGACCTTGGACTTCTAGCTTCCACAACTAGAATAAAAAACAAATAAATTTCTATCGTTTAAGCCACCCAGTCTGTGGTACTTTGTTATGGTGGCCCCAGGAAACTAATATATTTAGTATGTATTATAGGAGGTCTTGCAGCACCCCTGGCCAACTAGTTGCCAGTAGCACCTCCTCTTGTCCTCGCCTCACAAGTTACAAAAAGTGTCCAGACATTATTAAATGCCCCCCATCCCCCCCGGAGGGTAAAATCACCTCCAGTCGAGAACCACTGGCAACCCAATCTAAGAAGTTCAGGGAAGGTTTTCAAAGGCCTTAACATGCTGTTACACTGTAGAAATTAGCTAGGCTAAGGAGGGGTTTGAATCCATCCAGGTTTACATCTGTAATCCTGGTGTTATTTGCAACAGCACCCCCTTTCACTTTCAAAAGTGCCCCATTTGGCCGCTAAACCTTTGATGACCTTTGGTTTGGAGGGAGTGGTTCAGTCCTGTGCATTCAGGACTGCAGGTACTATGATGTAACTAGAGACTGCGTGCGGATGTGTGTGCGTGTGTAAGGAACTTGTGTGTTTTGGGACAGCAGATACTATGATGTAACTAGATTAAAAAGATTGTGTGTGCACACATGCCTGTGTATGGTGGATATGGTGATGGTAGAGGGGTGGTTAGAGATGATGGTTAAAGGGGCCTAGGAATAAGCAAAAGGGCCTCTGAGCTATGCTGAGGAGCCTGGATTTTATCAAAAGCAGATGTCTGAGGATGGAAAGTGTTTGCCCTGTTTGCTTATGCCCTAACCTTAGGAAGCCGCTGACAATGTTAAATAGGGAAATGATCAAGTTTATGTGAGGAAGAGCTCTCAAAAAAACAAAAACCAAAACCAAACAAACAAAAAAACCAGTTAGGATTGGGAGATTTAAAATTAATTAGAGCACAAAAGACAATCAGGGTGTTGAGCATATCCAAGAAAAGGGATAGTCAGACAACAGAATGAGTAAGAATAGTCAGAATGATTAAAATCAGAGTCAGGAAGAAAATCTGTATTTTCAGTATCCTCAATACTGGTTTCTTGCTGCTGTTCCTTAGACTTCCTGGGATATGAAAAACAGAGTGGAAGCAGTAGGTGCTAGAAGACCACTTGTCTTTCTTTGGTCAGATCTGAGGCAGACACTACAGCTAGTTTCCTAGTGCTCCTGCACTCAATCCTCTCTTCATTCACTCATGAATGCGTTACCCTGGCCCCTTCCAGCTGCAGCTTCAACATCATGATCAGAGAACCTGGACTTGGGTTTAGACTGTTGTTGTAAAGCTGCACGAGTAAAGAGAAATCGTATTTAACTATTACAAGTTTAGTGACTTTTGACATTATCCAAAAGGCATCAATGATTACCAATAATTTAGAAAGAGTTCATTTAAAAGGCAAATTTTTCCCCAAGATGTGACCAATAAATGTCTTGCTCTTTTTAGAATAACCCAGAATAGGATTAGCCTCCAAGTCATTCCAAGAATGGCCAACCCAGTGTCAAATAACTGCCTTCTTTCAGCCCTTGAGAAAGAGAATTTAAAATGTTTTTATGTCATCTAATTGAACTACTCGATTTGAGATGAGATCACATACCAATGTTTAAGAGCTGAGTTGATGACTTTGGATGTGCTATCAGAGTGCACCTTGAAAGATGCTACCACTCACTTGATACAAAACATGCCTATCACAGGCTATGGAGGGATACAAGGATAGATGACTGCAGTTCCCGAGTAATGACCACATACAAGGCTTAGTACTTAGTGCCTGCCTCTCTCTCTCTCTCTCTCTCTCTCTTTCACACACACACACACACACACACACACACACACACACCAAAAATGCTCCCCAACTTGCACAAATGTAATATGAACATATTTAGCTTGACATTAGAAAATGTTAGTAAACCTAAAAATGACCACTTTTGCTCATACTGAGAAATACTGAATGACATCACTCCAAATAATCTTGAGGAGACCTGGGCATACTGCTCCATTTATGAAGACATACAGGTGGCAGGAACAGAATTAAAAAACTGGATCACTTGTCCAAAACCACATCCAATCTCATATCCCCAGTACCTAGGACAGTGGCTGGCATAAGACAGGCCCTCAATACCTGTGAATGAATGAATAAATTTTCAGTAAAGGAAAGAGAGGCTCAAAGGGATCAAATAATTCACCCAAATCTCTCTCTCTCTCCCTCTCTCTCTCTACCTCTCTCTCTCTCTCTCTCTCTCTCTCNCACACACACACACACACACACACAGACACTGAGGGTGTGGAGGTGAGTTTGCTCACTGTACAAAGTAATCACAACTATTGGTACTTAATGACAGTATTACAAAACTGTACCCCAATAGGAAATTATCTTGTGTAAGTCACCTTGTCAGGGCCCTTAATTAATCATCTTTGTAAAGCATAAATAGCTTAAGTATCATTGCCCAAATTCTAGGGGACAAAAGCAACTAGCACAATTCAGGCACACAGTTGGTTGTTCAATGATTCCTCCTTCCTTCTCTCACTATAAAAAAAGTCACCCAACACACTGCATTAAAAACTATCATGGCTAAGCACCTAAAGGATTCATAAATATTAATTCACTACCACCCAGGCTATTAAGAAAGCAGCAGGTTTTGAATCAAGGCTTTACCACTTTTTAGCTTTGTGACATTCTACAAGTTGTTTAACATCTAAGCCTCAGTTTATCTATAAAAATAGATTAATAACAGTGTCTATCACGTGGAAATGATCCATGCTTGGTACATAGTAAGTGCTCAATAAATGTTTGTTTTATTACAATTACCAATTTAAGGACTTCTAAAAGGGACCATTAAGTTTACCTTTCGATTTACAGCATTTCGTGGAAAGAGTGTACGCTTGAAAGTACAGTTCTGGGTTTAGGACAACTATCTAACTTTATGACCTTGGGCGGGTCAGTTCCTCTGCTAGAACCTCAGTTACCCATTCTTTAAAATGGGGATGTCAATTCCCACCTCGCACGGCTGTTGTTACCATCAAGTGAGGTGAGGCACAAAGTGCCTACTTAGCATAAGACCAGATGCTCACCCAATGGCAGGTACCTCTTCCCCTCCGCTACAGGCTACAAAGTGGAGGGAAAGAAGAGAATACGGGAAGGGAGCAGCAGCATCACAGAAAGAGGCCTCCAAAAAGGTTGACAGAGAGGTGAAGGGTTACGGCCAACGGGGCGTTTTATCCCCGCCGCCGAAGGCTCCATGCAGCTCTCCCTCGTTCACCGCTTCTGGGTACTCACTTGGACCTCTCTGTCTCTTGCCTGTCAGCCTCTCCAAGGAATTCCGTATACACGTCGGAATACACCCTCCACCCTGCTATCTCGTAGCTGGAGCGAGGAGAGTCACTCCCTTCCAGGCCTTGGAGGCCCCACTCGGGCGCTGGAGCCTGCCCTTACCTGTGAAGTTGACACCGGCTCTCAATGTCAGCAGCGCCCCGGGGCTGCGAGCTCTCAGGGAAGGCGCGAAGGTGGTAACACTCAACTTGAGGCCCAGCGACGGCCCCACTGCGCCCGCCCTGGGCGGCCGGGCCCCTCTCCCCGCTGCAGCTGGCAGCCGAGGGGTCCCCACAGCCACCAGCAACCAGCGTGTGGAGCACAGCACCGCCATCTTGGCCCGGGGACACTGCGCCTGCGCCACCAGGCTCAAGCGGGCCTCGCGAGGATAACGCGCGCGCGCAGCGCCGGCACCTCTGGAGACAGGGCCCGCTGCGCGGGCACGCAGAAGCACAAGTATTGCGCACGCGCAGCTGCATCCAATGCGCCTCCCTAGTAGCCAACATCGAAATTACGTTTGCTCTGAAGATATACTTGCCCTGGAGAACTTCGTAATTCTGTGCTGGAGGATCACGACTGCACCTTATCTGTGTAAGGCTGTGGTTAGGTGTAGCTGAATATAACTGGTTTGAGGGGCCCGGCAAGGGACGGGAATACAAATCCCGGCGTGCAGTGCGGCTGTCTGGCTCGCAGATCTCAGCGTAAAGTGCACGGCTTCCTTCCTCCTGACTCTTAACATTTTCTTGCATGTTACTCATCCGGTGCCCGCGCAAACGGTCAGAGTTTCTGTCCGAGCTCCCAGATCCTGTCCTCAAATTCATCGTTTCTGGTTGATTCACTACGCGGCAGACTTTGATGCCTTAGGTCTCTCCTAAGCGTGTTAGCCTTCTCCAAACCTGTGAACTTGGCCTGTCGCAGAGTGAGAGCCAGGTTCCCCCAAAACGAGTTTAATAAACATTGTCAGCATCTACTGTGTGTCACTCACGTTCTAGGGTATTGGGAATACAATGAGGAATGGCATACCATTCCTTGCTGTGGAGGAGCACAACAATGAATTGAGAGACAGGCCCCTTAGCAACTAATGTGATCAATGCTATCATAGGTATAAACAGTTTTACAGGAACACAGATGAAGGGGTTTCTCAGAGGTTGGGGTATTGAGGTGTCAGGGAAGGCATCTGAGAGGCAACATTCCAGTAATGAAAAGTGGATCAGGTAGGGGTGGAGCGGAAGAGTATTCCAACTAGCAAGAAGTTAAAAAGCAGATGTCTGGAGATGGAAAGTGCTTGTGCTGTTTGCTTAAACCCTAAACTTAAGGTGTGACTGGAGATGAGGCCAGAAAGATAAACTTGGCCTGGTAAGTCTTGCAAAGGAGTTCCAACTTTCATACTTACACCACCACCACCACCACCCAAAAATAAAATAGGAACCTGGGGTTCATAGATGGTTTTAAGATGATCTGTGCTCCTCCCCACTTTCCCCATTGTACACGAAATTTTTGTGTATGTGTATGTTAGTCCATAGCTTTCAGCAATCAAATTCACCATATGCTCTGAGATTCAAAGAAGGTTAAAAACCACTGGCCCAGTGAAGAACAGTTATGAGGCTATTGTAAAGTGCAAGGAATAGTTGAGTTCGGGCTAGGGAATGTTCAAGAAACAAGGAAAAGGGTTTCATGGGGTCAGAAGTGGAAGAAAGAGCTCTGTTAACATATTCAACCAATATTTAAATGTTTTCCAGCAGTGGTTCAGAGTATGAGCCCTGGTGTCTGAATTCTGGCTCTGCCACTTACCAGCTGTGTAAGGCAACTTATTTTACATCTCTGTGTCTCAGTTTCCTTTCTCTAAAAGGAAAATGTAACAGTAAGTAACTCAAAGGATCACCTAAGGAGTGAGATAATCCATGTAAAGGCTTCATATAGTACTTGGCACATAGTAAGTGCTCAATATGTTAGTCCTATGTGCCAAGTTCTCTGCTAAGCACTGGCAATACCAAGCAGAACTCAGACAGTTACTTGTTCACCGGGAGCCCAAAACCTAGTGAAAAAGAGTGAGAGAGGGTGCTGGTTGAGAAGTACAACTTTCAGGAACAAAAGCTGAAAACAAGAGGCAAAGGGATTGCACTTACTACCTCAAAGTGAATTAGGGCAAACTAGAGGAGGGCTCACTAACATGAAAACTTTGTCAGCTTTATAACTTCCTCATTTTTTTGTATTTTAGTTTCCCCCCACCTACTTCCCCATAGTGATTAAAAGAAAAAGTCCTCCACATTGAAAGGGTGTGTGTTTTGTTTTAGGGGATAGCGGGAAGGCTGGTTGTTGGGGAGCCTACATTTGCTTTTAGGAAGACCCCAGGGAATGGAGTGGGTGATAGTGGCTACTAATGGACCCTTCCTAGGCTTGTTGGCAAACACTGGGATGAGCACACAGGCCACACCTACCCACACTTCCAGGCAGAATATGTCCTGTGTCTCTCCCCTCCTCCCCCTCCCCTGCCCCTTCTCCAGTCTAAAGCCAAAAACTTGAGCTTTATGGAGAAACACATGTTACTTGGAAAAGGCACACAGGTTTCATAAGCACCTCCCCCTCTACGCTTTTCATTTTACTGTTCCACTCGGCCCTTCCTGCTCTCCTGAAAGTAGTGGGATCTGTGATAGCTAGTAAGGAGTTTTAAGTATGGTCTACTCTGTGATTTCCTGCAGACACTGACCATCCCAGATACAATGGGACTGGCCAAGTCCATGGCTACACAATGGGATGGCTGCTCCCCTCTCCATGTAATGAGCCCTATCAGGGAGGGCAAAAGGGCCTCAGCCAGTCTCTCCAGAGGCAATAAAGCTAGCTCATGATTTTTCTAGTTGTAGCATTTCCTTTCCTTCCCAAGAGAGTACGGGACGATTCCAAGGGGATGTGAAATGTGTAACCTATGTTCCTGGACATGACATCTGCTGTGGGTGCAGTTCCCTGCAAAAGAAGAAGACAAACTGAACTGTGCCCTCCCCTCATTTGTCTGGGTTTTCTGTGCTAATGATTTCCTAAAAGACCCTTTAAATAAACCACAGGCGGCGCCAGCTCACAGCTAAATATACTTCTGCCCAAACTCGGCTTAAACTCAATGTTTCACAACAATGAGAAATAAAAGGAAATCTTTTAAAGGAAAAAAAAAAAGATCATGGACATTAAGAATAAGGCTCTGGGGCCGGCCGAGTGGCACGTTGCTTATGAGTTGGCTTGGGACGCCAGCTCTGAGCAGCAGGACCCCGGTTTGGATCCCACATTAGGGCCAGTGACGCTGCGCCCTCTACAGCTAAGATGGTGAACAACAGCTCGACCTGGAGCTGGGCTGCCCTGAGTCGCTGGTGACCGCGTAGGCTGCAGTGGGGTGGCAGTGGGCTGCAGTAAGCTACCGTGAGTGGCTGGCAGCCAGAGTGAGCGGCCGGCAGCTGCTGTGAGCTGCCTTCCAATGGCTGGTGAGCAACTGCCTCACCCAGTAAGAGCACAATGATAATTAATACCAACAGGAGCCAGTGAAGCGACATCCTCCACAACTAGACTGAAGAACAAAATAACAGCAACTTGTCTGTTCCCCTTCCCTGATTCCCCAAAGCTGTTCCCGTCCCCCAATTCCCCAATCAAATCTTAAAAAAAAAAAGAATACATCCTAAGCCTCTGATGCTTTTGTGAAGCAACCTCTTCCTTGCTGGTCACTTTCTTTCTGCTAATGTTCCTTCCTTTAGTTACATGAAATGTTTTGAATTTTCTGGAATGAGGACTTCACTACACTGGTCTCCTGAATTCTTGTTCATTATTAATCATTCTTGGAAACAGGACCTGTGAAATCAAAATCATCCTGCCAGGCACCAAGCTAACCAGACATCCTTATTTTGCTGGAATTTGACCCATCTTTGATAGCCTGCATTTTAGGGTAGAGAGATGTCTTCCAGAGTCCTTAGAGACAAACAGCGAAGTGGAGTTACTAGGAGTATAAAGAAACAAAGCTGGTAATTCATAGGCTCTTGGGACTGGAAGGAATCTTGGAGGCTGTCAGTTCCACTTTGCAATTCATGAAGTAATTTATTCTGCTCAAGTTTGCAGCAGCCTTAGAGCTCTGAACTCTGCTAGAAAGAATCACTCTCCAGCCAGAATGGATCTGGGAACATGTGATATGGTCACTCTCTGGGCCTCCATGTCCCTCTGGTCCTTCCCTCTCCTCTGCTTCCCTGCTGTGGAGCTCAGGTTTGTCACTGTGGGAATGGGGAAGATGACATTCTCCAACTCTTCTTCTATCAGCCCCCAGTTTGTGGAAATATAGTCACATGATCCAGCACAGCCAGGGTCATGGCCTCTCTCTTTCCTGGGAGAGGTCAGGGGTCACAAACCCAGGTGCCAGGGCTAAGCAGGTAAAGTGTAAGGGTGGAGTGGCCATGTATAAGATAACAGGGACCAGTGGGACTGCAGCAAACGGGAAAACATGCTTTAAAGGTGGCAGGTGCTTCTCAGCTCCAACCCATTTTAGCCATGTGGAGATTAGGAGCCACTATTGCAAAATCTTTCCATTTTTCAAGAGAGGCTGAAATTCAAGCCTTTAGGATATGTCTCAATTTAAAAAATACCATGTGAACCAAGTAAAACATATTTGTGACCAGATTTAGTCCATGATATGTCCATTTATTACCTCTGGGGGCTAAAGATTTTCTCACTTTCTGACTGTGCCCATTTAGGCCCATCATAATTGTAGATAAAACAACAAAAACTAATTCAGGGATAACAGTGAAGTGACAAAGCAAATTTGGGAGGTTTACATGAACTTTGCAATAGATGTACAGTTGATTTATATTTAAAAATATTTTTAGAGCCAGCCGAGTGGCTCAGTTGGTTAAGAGTGTGAGCTCTGAGCAACAGGGTTGCCGGTGCGATTCCCACATGGGCCAGTGAGCTGTGCCAAGCTGAGCTGCCACTGAGCTGCCAACAGGTGGCAGGATGGCTCAGCTGGTGAGAGCATGTGCTCCTAACAACAAGATTGCTGGTTCGACTCCCGCTTAGGATGGTGGCTGCGCCCCCCTGCAACTAAGATTGAACACAGCATCTTGAACTGAGCTGCCCTGAACTGCTGATGGGTGGCCGGATGGCGACTGGACTTGGAGCTGAGTTGCTGTGCCCTCTACAACTAAAATTGAAGGACAACAACTTGGCTGTTCCCCTTCCCCAATTCCCCAATAAAATCTTTTATATATATATAT